TTTCAGTCCGTCGACTCGACAACAACACAAAGGTTAATGGACATTTGACGAAGTAATGATGATGCGCTTGTTCTTTTCAAATTCGTTACTAGAGATGAAGATGCAGAAACGAATCACACAGGTTTTAATTACCAAAATCTATAACAATAGAAGCTTTTTAATGGAGGCCTGAGAAAGCGTCGTCAACGGTATTGTCCTCCGATCTCTCTATCACCTACTTTTCTCGCGTCATGTGAAAGCGGATTATTTTCATTTTTAACATTAAACATTTAAAAGCATTGCATTTTCATCATTTTAAGTGTTTTTTCTTTGTCAACTGTTTAATTTCATTGACCGGGTTTCTCCTCTTAAAAAATATAAATGTGAATTTATTTGAAGAGAGCTATGTGCTTTTTTCCAAGCCAATAATTCACTCAAATGAATTACTAGTTTGTTTTTCAAATTTTCGAATGACTTGTTTATTTAGACGGTAAATTATTTTAAAAAAAAAAATCCAGTGTTTGCCATATCTTAAATAAAATATTTCCCATGGGATAATGGTGCCTGTCTACGTAAACTTCCTCTTTACTAAATCAAAAGGAATTGTATTCTTTCAAAATATATTGTTAATGTGAAATAAAGGAACTTTTGGTTTATTAATATAATAACTCTACGTGATTAAAAATTTTAAGATTTGATGCAACTAACGAAGTTTAGAGATTGGCCGGTTGGGCAGTTGTCGATCTCCCATGAATCTTAACATTAAAACTATATCTATATTTTTTCTTAGCTAATCTATGTTATAAATGTGGAAATTCGTCAAATATACTTTTTAAATATAATATTTGTAAAATGATGATACTATCACCACTACCAAGGAGGAGTGGTATGGGAGAAAATCTAACTCCAAGTTTGCACCACTTGCTTCTTTTGTTTGTAGTTTAAAACACCTAATTATAATTAATATTTTGTTCGGTAGAATGAATTGTTGTTTTGAATATATAAATTAAAACAACTGAATTTTGATATCATCAGGATTCAGGAGTTGATTAATTATTCACATTTGAAAGTCCGGCAAATGGTTAGCGTTTTTTTTTTGAACTTTAGCTGCCCAAAAAAAAAATGTGTTATTAAGAATGAACCACGAAATTACAAAATAAAAGATTTGTTTAATATTCCAAAAAATTTACAAAAATTTGAAAACTAACCCTTATTTTGAAAATTTTGAAACTAACTTTTTTTGTTAAATAAAAAAGACAAAAATATCCTGATAAATTTTTGAATATTTAAAATTAAAAGAATAATCATTTTCGAAATTAATCTTCGTTTATTTATTTAAGATATATTTTGATATCAACAAAAAGG